AGTTGGAATTCAATTTATAATTGATTTTTTGGTCCGGGGGGGGGGTTCGAGTTCGAGTTCGTGTGGGGTTCGTAATGGAAGTGGCAGAAAAGCTTTCCACCGCATCTCTCTGTACAAGAAAGAGCTCTCCTTGTGGATGCGCTTCTAGGTTTCAGCTGCATTTCAAGATGATGCAAGATGTATGGAGGACTGATTCTCAGGTGCCGGCCATCGCCTGAAGTTGTGCCGGCAACCATACCCTTTTCGACGACTTATGAAGTGACATGCAATGAATTCAGCCATGCATGTCATGTCCATGGACATGATTCAAGGTGGTTGGCAACCGACAGGGCCCCTTCAGGGCACACGCCGCATCATTTACTCGATTGGGATCCTACTCAAAAGTCTGCACCAACGCGCACACAGTACTTGTGCAGCTATGGACAGGATGACATCCGCTAGTGCTAGTGTGAGGTGGAAGGCCGACTACTGGCTCTAGCCAACGGTGCAGGAGACGCGTAGCGGCCTCAGCCACTTGAAAACGCAAGGCAAAACTGTCCGCAGAGGCTCTTGATGACTACGGTAATCAATGATAGTGCTCTAGGCACCTTGGTGGCAAGCGCGCAACTCTTGCAAACGGAGGCAGCCATGGGATCGAACGCTGACCTGAGCAGGCCCTCGTGGCAGCGGTCCCTAACTCTTTTGCAGGGTACGTAGCATTTTACAGAGAAAGCCTTCCAATCTTGACAACAGGTAACCCTGGAAGCATCCAAGGGCTGTTGATCTAGTTTTTGGGCGACATGCTTGGTCTGATGTGTGTACAGGGTGGTTACTTGCAAAACGATTGCTTTGTTCATGCCCCGGCGTTTGAGGCTGATATAGGCTGATCCTGCTTCCTGCTCACCATGTCCTGTGAGGAGGACACTTGGCAGCATTTCGCGCAGGCGGGTTTGATGTCCACACCCCCGCGGAGATCGCGTACATTACTTATTCGAGAGGGACCTGGCCAGAATTGTGTGGCTTCCAGGTAGCATAGGAAGGCATGACAGAAACCAACAGCTTCAAAGCTCCTGCAGATGTAGCTTCTGCACGTGTCTGCATGTACATGATTCTATGCGATTCCAAGGGGGCCAGCTCTCAACTCAACTCCAAGCTGACTGCAGGCAAAAGGAAGGAGGCTGAGATAGGCTGAGGCAGGGTCAAGCCGAGGAATTGAGCTTTTGCAGTTCTCCTGTCTCTTTCGGCGCAGCGAACTCGGAGATGTAAACTTTTCAATTCTACCGTGTCGCTTGGTAAAGTCTGTGCTGCTAAGGAAGCCACCACCGCACCTCAGCATTTTCAGCTACAGCATCCCTACATTCTTGTGATTGTGAATGCTTCAGATCGTTTTAGTGAAGACAAGCTGCCGTACCACAAACTCGAGATTGGACATCATGTGGCTTTGCAATGCAGGCTGCGAAGGTGACTTGCCAGTCTGTCGCTGCTGCTTGGTGGCTTGTTTGCTTTCCGGCGCAGCTGCGGTTGGTTCAGGGCTTGAGACACTCGCAACATCTGCAGACTCTCTGCTTCCAGGCAAAGATGTTACATCCTCACGTGTTCAGAAACACAGGCAGCATGAGAGTAATTGTTGGCTATGCTGAGCCAGCCCTGGAATTGCCGTTGGAACGTCTTGCTTATGCCTGCCAAGCGGCAGGGCTGCATTCGTCAGTCACGTACCAGAGCTGGCCGTCGCTGTCATCCATCCATTGACCAAATTCTTCAGATCTGCCAAAGCAAATTGCGAGCACTTTGCGCAAGATCTGCAATGTGCCACTGACAATTTGCAAGCAGTCTCGCGTGCCTATCACCCAACACATCCTAGAACACCAGACACACTAGCAGCAGGGCCACTCCTGCTGCTGCTCACTATACCGACAGTATGTACTTCCGAAGCGTGTGCATACAGTCTCCTGCCGTCCCATTCTTGCTGCTGGCAAAATTGTGTGCTCAACACCCTTTGTTTGAGATGCTGCTTCAACCCCACTAAGTTTGTTCAGACGTTGGGTTTGTGCAGCATCCAGCGCCTCACTTCCCAAGGTCCAGTTTGTTTATCAGATGGGCAGCGGATCCTTCCAAGTCGCCAACTCGGTAGCATACAGGCGGAAGGAATTTGGAAGGCTTCTGGCGCGGCCCAGAACGCAGGAGCACCTGCAGATGATGACTCGAGGGCTCTTGAGCAAAAGGTTTCTCTACTCCAATTCTAGCGCAATTTATTGTGCAGTGTGTCCGTGAATCGCCCACCTACAACGCATAAATTAAAGACTTTACCTTAACAATTGGGTTTTAAGACACCAAACTGACGGGTGCACCGGTCTGCGCAACAATCCAAAGGTGATCTTCCGCTGATTGTCGTGCTCCCTTTGCCATTCCAGCAAATACGCCCTTGCCATCAATGGACAATGTCACCATGTTCTCGGCGAACAAGGCTTCGAATATGTGCCATCCCTTACTTCGATTGATTCCCGCAGGTGTCCCCACTTGAAAGACTTGCGTGCCCGACGCGCTCGGGCAAGTTCCGTTTGTAGTCATGAACTGATCACATTTAGAAGACACACCGAATGTACAGGTCCCATGTTTGCTGGCAATGCCAAACCAGTGCTCAGACTCGACGCCCTCATCGTGGAAAAAGATCCGTATGTACAGCTGCTTACCCTTGCATGGCTCGGCAGACGTGAACCTTCTCCTCAAGGCCAACCTGTGCCGTTGTCGAGTAAGCTTTGGGGCACATGTTTACTCACGCAACCCTGAAGCACCCTGACGGGGAGTTTCCCCATGTCATCGTCTGTATGAGCAGGGTGTTTGGGCCTAGCCAAGGACAGTTCAGTCTGGCAAAGGTTTCACCTCTCAACTGTTTTTGCGCCTTGTTCAGGATCCGCACTTGCATTCCATCCTAGGGTCCTATCCATTCCTAGGATGTTCAGCTTCATCCAGACTAAAGTAGGAAGGGAATGCACCACGTCCTGTACAACTGCAAAGCGAGCAACAAGCTGCGATATCCTAAATGGCGTGTGCGCCTTCCAGCTGATGGGTCCAGCTTCAGGGCGCGACCTGGTGGCTTCCATTCTCCGTCTGCATGCGCTTCGTGCGCCGGAAGAATGCAGACTGCTCGAGAAGCTGCTTGGACATCAAAGAAGGCCACCCAAGACGCAGCAGCCATGCCTGGAGAGTGCACTTCTAAACCGAAGGACCAGTAGCATCTATGAGCCAATGGAGAATTGAGAATGATTCGAAGCAAAGGTTGCCATTGGAATCTGAGAAGATTCTTTAATGTCGACCCCTCAGCATGGGTTCGCACTTTCCACTGTGTCATCTACCCATCCTAACCACGTTTTTATGGGGGAAAAGAATTTCTTCAACTTGTGGAGCACTGATCTCTTTTGCCACGCGTGGCATGCCATAATAATTGCTGCTGAGGTTTCATACAGTTTCGAATGACAGGGCCGCATTCTCACGCATTCCGATGAGCAAGCTTGAGCTCGAGAAGCTTTGGTAGGCGTCATGAATCCAAATTGTGAAATTTCGAGCATCAGTGCAATAACAGAGTCGTCTGCCCGAAGCCAATGGTTCATTCAAGGAGCCCCTGTCAGTGAAGAAGTCTGCCAGAATAAGGCATCGCTCTGGACATCTGTGAGGCACAGCATTGTTTCCGAGTTGCCTGATGCATCAGCCAGTAGCATGCAAGTTGTGCAAGCAAATGGCTTAGCTGGAGCTAGTTCTGCAAACTCACACCTCGGCACATCCTATGGAATTTGGACATAGATGGCTTGATGATTCTCTATGTAGCGCTATTGAACTGGAATTCGAGCGATGGCCACGTTGAATAAACCTTCCACTTTCACAGGCCTTCTGGCTGGGGCGAGCGGCGTGACCAGGTGCTTGCTGGCGATGCCTGCGGTATAGATGTAGATTGCACCTTCCCAGCGATGTTCTGGCACAGGCGCGCAGCATGTCTTACTGTATCTACTGCAACGCTGCAAGCGCAAGGGCTGGGTTTCTGACAGTCTTGCGCAGTGTTCGGCAGCATTTGCAGCCAAACAATCTGGATGGTCTCATTTCGCAGAAATGGATCTTGGCAATGACTGATAATCTGGCCAGAGGCATCCTAGGCTTGCAGCTGTCCCAATTGCTGCCTCTCATGCGGTCAGCCGAGCCCAACAGGTTCCGCATGTATCCACGATGTTTTAATGTTTTGGCATATTGCGCTCTCGTTCTCCAGTTCTGGGCAACGAAATGAAACGCACAGAGGGCCGGTACATGCTGTACATCTGTGTGACCTCACATGGCTTGAAGGGACTTCTGCGCACTCTAGGGCAGCTACTTCCGTCGGAGCAGCGAGGTGATGAACTAATCAAGTCGTACAGCCGCGACACACCACCTAGCCTTTCAATGTTTTTTAAATCTGCAGGCCAACAACTTGACTCCTCTATTGTCAGGTTGGCACACTTACCAGCCGCGTGTCAGTAATGTAAAGGGCTTCAGCATCTTCAACCTTGATCGCCAAGGGGATGTCGCTGTGACCTCGAGGGAGCACGGATGGCAGCACAAGCTCTTGCCGCCGCGTCCACCTGAAGATGCTGTTCCGGAGGGCTTGTCCAATGCAATCTTCATGCGTACGCAAGACTCCGCCCCCCTAATGCCGCTCTCGGTCTCTCGCGATGCTTCGTGGTAGCCCAAAACATTGCACTCTCCAGTTTCTCATTCAAACACACTTTGACAGAAGGCGAGCTGGACTTCCCTGTCCTTGCAGCCAAGTTTCACTGGTATGGTTGTAATGAAAAGGCAGCTTGCTCAATAGCCCATCCGAAGCCCTGCGCGAAAAGCAAGTACAGCATGACGCCAACATCTAGAAGAAAGTCTATTTTGCTCAGGTGCAACTGCCCAAAAGCGTGCGCTATCTTCGTGATGATGCTTTTTGTGCAAACGCTGACGGCTCGCGTAGCCTCGCTGCTGCTCAGGAAGCCACAGCAAGCTGTCGCTACCAGTACGTGTGCTGGCTATGTTCGATGCCTGAATCCCACATGCGCTGCACTCCAGGGTCATGTGCAAGTTCTCTTTGCAGCCCCTTTGGTATGTTCTGACACTTCTGCACTGACACATGACTTTAATGGCCAACCACCTAGAGCCAAAAAGATGCAGGCCGACGTGCTCTGGGGCTGTTGCGTGGAGTGCAACTTGAGAAACTCTTGATCGATTTGCAGTTCTGCTGCCCGCTGTCAAATCTTTAACTAGTCTGAAAGAGGCTCTCATCAACATTTATAAGACCCGGCAAGCTTTTCATACTCACATCCAGTGTGACAGCCGCACGACGTTTCCGCAAATCTGACATGGCAACAGGCCGCATTTTGGTTTCATCCTCAAAGTGTCAGACGCCAATGATTTGACATTGGTCCCGGACTCAGCGAGCTAAAGGAGACAGTTGCTCCGTCCCGTGCCTCACATGCAGCCACAATCCCGTTCAGATGCTCTGTGTTCAAGGTTCCGCTCCTCATCAGCTTGAACGTCATGCCAACAAATTTGGACATTGTTCCAACTTCAGGAGGACGCATGGGAAAAACAAACGTGGTGTTGCAATCTATCTAAATCTGACCTGTCATGCAACCGGCATGCGTTGACTTCTGGAAGAGACCATCCAGTTCTACAGAGCTATGGGCAGGATCTCTGTCATCACTGGAGGCTCTCTGGCTTTTTAGAGGGCCTTGGACAAGTCTGCACGGTGCGAGGTGACCAAGCACCATGAGTAAAACCGTTAACCACAACGTCACAAACTGCTATCCGCAAAAAGTCCCCAAACCAAAGAGCGAACACCAAGCCTGAACACGAAGGACAACAATCTGCAAAAAACGTTGCAAAAGAGCATCTACTTTCCTCATCTGTCTCAAACAGTGGGTCTTGAGTAAGGTTTGCCCCGCGATTTTGTGCGATCTGGGCATCCTGCACTACTTCAGAAGACAATAATTTCCTCGAAGGAATCAGAGCTCTTCCACGAACTCCACGCAACAACTCGAAAGACTACATGGGAGTCCGTGCACCAAGAACTGATACTCTGATCGACAAGCCAAATGTCCATCGTCCAAGTGTATCCACTCTACGCATGAACAACGTCGCCGACGCCAATGCAACAGTCTCATCCCGCAGTCCCAATTCTGCAAGCGCGATAGGTCGGGAATTTCCAGGTCAATTCTCAAGCACGAGCGCACGCGCCTTCACGCCCCCGCTCCTTTTAGGATTCCTTGCATAAGGTGCGTTTAACAGATTTTGGATTTCAGGGCTGCACGCATTTTAGGGCTATGCAGGCCTTCCACCCTGCACTCCGTTTAGGGATCACAGCTTCGGAAGCTGCTGCTCCTTCTGCATTCTATCTTGAGCCTTGGGGCAGAGTTGATGGATGGGTCCGCGGGTACAGCGGGGCTTTTAGAATCAGTACCTTCGAGGCCGAACAAGGCCCCGTTCTTCTTCAACATCGAGCTCAGGACATGGTGCGGATCCCTGAGACAGCTTTGTTGGCGAAATCGGTATGATATATGATTATATCTGCCAACCCAAGAGATTCGAAGCATTGATCGGAAACCTCTACAAAACTGTTCGTAAACAAGTCTGATTTCTTGCTTGCATTCCGAGCCTCGCCCTCTGCATGTAGTCCACACTGTAGATACACATTTGCCATTGCCCTCTGCAAGAAGCAATGAAATTGTCCCAAGTGACATCCTCATGTGCGCACAAGATTTTTGTTGTACAGTAGCTGTCTGTCATTGTCTGTCCATTGCAGTCATGGCGCGTCCCTTCTAATTAGCCTTACAGGCGCCCGCATCATCAAGCACAGAGCAAGCTACCGCATGGAGCAACATGCAGCAACGACCTGTACGTGCTGACAAAGGCTGCAGGCAAGGAGCTTCGTGGCCATGCTCAGCAGCAATGAATGAGATACTGACCAGGCTCTGCCATCGTGGGCGCATGAAAGCGCGTCATTGCAAATCATCCTTACCAACTGCATTTGTGCGGCAATCCTGTCCCACGATGGAGTCGGCCATATGCACATTTCTTGCTGACAAAGCGCAAATTTATGAATGCTAGCCAAGGGTCGTGTCCAAACGCAATTTCACATCGGCGCAAGTGGCAAGCGCCTTTGCTCTTTCAGCGTGTAAAGACGGCATGTGCGCGTCCATCCAAGGAGCAGCAAATACGGATGAACTCGGCCGATGACAACGGCACTGAGCCCCTTTATTATGCAGAAGGTTTTAGGAATCCTTCAGTACAATGGCAACCCCCCCACGGCCCCGTACGCTTATGCAACCGCAGGTCCCCAGCTGGCAACACCTTGTGCTTGTGGGCATCGGCCAACAGCTCTTCTGGCGCAAGTACAGGAAATCACAAATAGAAGAAAAGCAAGATTTGCAGGGAGTGAATGGGCAAGTAAAAACACCGGGATCTGGGTTGCTCGAAGTACACACTATGCTTTCCAGCGCCCGTGAGCCGTGGCAGGCAACAGTTGCTGATGAGTGGGTTGCTCTTCCACAGTCAAGGGTGTATTTCAATCGATGCAGCACATAAACCCAGAAAGGCAATGCAGAAGTAAAGAACAAGCCCTGAAGCAATTGGCGCTTGTGGCTGAACTTCCGGCCCAGGAATTTTACAGTTTGAGGACCCGTTTCACCGACTCGTCGTAAAGACGGTGGCATCTTCACGTTATCTGCCACATGGAGGCACTTCTTCTCAAAGGCTGGGCCCGGTCTACTTGGCCCAGCCTTCTTGCCCCTCTTGACTTGAGCATTGCTGGCCATCAGATCAATCTTGTCCTGAATAAGCTTTCTGCTGTGGCCCCGATGCCATCTTTTTGTTTGCTAAACTGCCGAGATGAAGCACGACGCTGTAGCATGGCTGTTGAACTTACATTTTCTTTGCCTGGTTTGTTTTCTTGCCTCCTCAGCGATCAAGCCACCCCGACCCAGTGGGTGCTCGTCGAAGGCAACACGGAAAGCTACCTCTTTGTGTTGGCACTTCGGTCTCCTGGCTCAATCTTGTCAGGACGCACATGGTATGGGCAGCAAGAGCAACTTCATCACTGCAATCAGCTTCGACAACCCGGGATGCACACAATGGCTTGGTGCGGATGACCGACTGGTCTGCACCATCCACTTGCTTCGGTGATGGAGACTAGTT